ACCTATCGTCAGCCATGTGGGAGTGTCCAGCACCTTAGTCACCATGCCACCTGCTGGTTCCCCCAATTTTTTTTTTTTTTTAAGATTTAAAAAATTTGGGGCCAGTAGATGGTGTGGTGGTTAAGGGGCTGGACTCCCACATGGTCAGCTGCGTGTGGTTTGAGTCCTGGATCTGGCGGCTTGCTTTCTTACTTAGTGTCTCGCTCTCTGGTAAGCACATGTGCCCTATAGCAAATATAAAATAGTATTAATAATAATAAATAAAAACCAATTATTTCAAAAAAGATTTAAAAAATCTGTTCCCATTTAGTGGTTCAGTCTTCTTAAGCCATTGGTATATATATATATATTTTTTTTTTTGGAGAGGTTTTTGCTATAGGGCGTGTGCGCTTGCCAGACAGACAGAGACAGAGAGACAGAAAGCATGAAATCACCCCCCCAGGGGGGATGGCCACGCCGCAGTCCCTTCTCCTCCAGTCTCCTCTCGGGATCTTGGGCATGCACGCACACGCGCCTGGCGTGAGTTTTAAGCCACCAGGTCCGGGACTCGAACCACGGTCGACTACGTGCGAGTCCAGTGACATAGCCATTACACCAGCTGCTGGTCCCAGTAATTTGTATCTTAACTATAGGAATTTAAAAGTTCAGGTATCTTCGTGCGTTTTTGTGATTATGGAATGTATAGAAAAGTTAGAGAGAATGGATGCAAAGCATGCTTAGAGTTAGTTGACATTTATTGTGTACTGTGTGCCAGGTGCTGTGCTAAGTGCTTTATTATCTCACACTCCAATCAATCTTAATTTCTTATTTTACAGGTGAGGGAATCAAAAATTAGGAATCATTATTAAGTGATACTTACAGAGGTAAAGGTAGCCAGTGTTCTCAGGAGATTTTGAATGTTTTTATGTAGATGGAATTGATGGTTAACTGAAATTTGTAGGATTTATAAGAGTTTGGTAGTTGAATTTAGGTTAGAAAAGAAAGCATCTCAAGTAATAGAAACTGTTTCATTAGTGGTTCGATGGCATGAAATAAAAGCAGGCCATTAAGAAATTGTCAGCAGTTTTTACGATTAGGGAGGCTAATGTAGAGTCTTAGCACTGGAGAGAGGTTGACAGGGACCACATACCTAAGGGACTTCTTTGTATGCGTTTTACAGAACATAGACAGTAGGAAATGTGTGAGGATTAGTTAAGTGAAACAGTATTGTATTTTGTTAAATTTATGGTTTCCCATTATTTTTAATGATTTAAACTGTTTGGCACACTCAGTTTAACTTAGTTTTGAGCTGAAACATCCCTTCAAAGAAATCTTTTTATTTTTATTGTAGAAAATTTGGCAGATACTATTAGAATGGAAGAATGTCACAACAGTTTACCTGTCTACTCTCTAGTAGGATATTTAATATAGGAATAATATAAAATATTGTTATTTTCTCCTTTAAGCTTGCTCATATTTAATAGCTTTTCTCACATAACCAAAACATGCCCAGCTGTCTCCTAAATAAACGCAACATCCTGGCTGTCAAAGCTCAGCTTTTATAGTTTCTAATCATCATTGCTGCTGCTATTATTATTTTATTACTGTAAGACTATAGATTGAATCCACTGTGTTAAAACATTTCAAATATATTTACTTTTGAATAGTAATGCATTTAAATGGTATGAAATATACAGTAGAAAGTCTTCCTCTCATCCTTGCTTGTCACCTGCTTGCTTCCCTTCCCTGAAGACAACCAAAATTACTGATGTCTTGTATATTCTTTCAGAGATACTGTGTGCCTATACAATTGAGTATATATGTCCTTACCCCTCTCCATTACTTTCATGCAAATATAGCATACTTGACACATTGTCCTGTACCTTACTTTGTTTAGTTAACAATACATTTTTGAAATTATTCCATATCAGTATATAAAGAGCTTTTTAAATCTCCTTATAGTTACATAACATTCCGTAGTTTAAATTTAGCATATTTAACTAGTTTCTCATTTCACGGGCATTTAGGATATTTCCAGTCTTTTGCTTTTATAATAAGCAAGATTGTAACAAATGACTTTGTTGTATGTTTTTCTCATGTATATGAATATCCCTGTAGGATCAGTTTTTTTTTTTTTTTTTAAGAGGTTTTTGCTATAGGGAACGTGCGCTCGCCAGACAGAGAGACAGAGAGAAAGCAAGAAATCACCCCCCAGGGGGGATGGCCACACCTCAATCCCTTCTCCTCCATTCTCCTCTCAGGATCTTGGGCACGCACACACACGCGCCCGGCGTGAGTTTTAAGCCACCGGGTCCGGGATGCGAACCGCGATTGACTACGTGGGAGTCCAGCAACATAGCCATTATGCTAACTACAGGTCCCAGGGTCAGTTTTTTGAAGTAAAATTTCTGTTCAGAAATTGTGAGTGGGGTCAGCCTGTGGCATGATGGTTAAAGTTGACTGGATTCCACATGATCATCTGTGTGGTTTGAGTCCCAAATCTAGTAACTTGAAAAACACACCAGACATGTGTGCATGTGCAAAATTCCTAAAGGAGGAAGAAATGGGGACAGGATTACAGCATGATCATGCCTTGTGAAACTTGCTTTCTCACTTTCCCCCTTTCTCTCTGTCTCTCTATCTCTGTCACTGGCAAAATTTTTAAAAAGCTATGGACATTTATAATTTTGATATAATTTTTGAAGTAGAAGGTTTAAATAAACAAACAATGGAATTTTGTATATTACTTACCTACAATGGAATCTTAACTTCATAATAAATGGAGATTTAAGAATAAATTTACAGTTGCTAAGATGACAGTTAAATCTTTTGTGAATTCTTTTTGTTTTGCAGGTATACGAAATTAGGATATGCTGGAAATACAGAGCCACAGTTTATCATCCCTTCCTGTAAGTATTTCATTTAAACACAAGTGAGCAGATTTAAATATCTCTTTAATAAAGTAAAAGAAGTAACCAGTTCTGACATTCTGTAAAATTTAAATTTTTAAAACCACAAATCATCAAGTTCTAAGTATGACCCCATTTCTGCACCTCTGATTAATTAATTTCAGCTTCTTTGCTTAGCTTTCCATTTACCAAATCTACCAGATACCTCTTTTTTGCCCCAGATAGCTCTTTTTAAAGCAAAAATGAATGGATAATTAAACAATTTTCTGCTTTGAGGATATTGCTGTTATCAGTGTGTAGATGTAACTTTTTTTTTTTTTTTTTTAAATCTATTGCTGTAGGGTGTGTGTGTCCACGTGGAAGAGATGGAGAGAGAGAAAATGAGAAATCTCTCTTGGGGGTGGGGGAGGATGACCACATTTCAGTCTCCTCCATTCTCCTCTTGGGATTTTGGGCATGCACGCACATGTGCCCAGTGTGTTTCAAGCCCCTGGGTCCGGGACTTCAACCATAGTCCGCCATGTGGAAGTCCAGTGCCTTACTCATTGTGCCATCTGCTGACTCAGGTGGACCTAATTACTAAGTCGTGCTTCCACCATCATGAACCTATGAAGGCTGTTCTTTTAGTTGTGGATATGACTATTGTTTGTAAGGCCTGTGCCTGTTGACACTTTTGATGAAAGCCTATTGTTTGTAAGGCCTGTGCCTGTTGACACTTTTGATGAAAGCCAATATTTCAGAATAAGTATGGCATCTCAATTTACAGATAATGACTTTAGTTGTTTCCTTATATCCTGTGACCATAATGTTCTGACATTATGTTTTTGTAGTGTTTTTTTGTTTGTTCTGTCTTGTTTTTGTTAACCTCACCTAGTTAACCCTCAACTGCCTTTCACTAGTTTTTAAAATATAATTTTCTCATTTTTTTTTTTTTTAGCGCTCTTACTTGTTACAGGTTATACATCTGGTCCTTGCTGTACATATATTTTACTTTTAACTTTGAAATGATTTGCTTTTTTTGTACATTATACACTAATGCTACAACTTGTCTTATTGACAAGACTTTTGCATGTTAGATGACAAAACTTTTTAAACCATTGCCTGATGTTGCTAACTACTAGACAATTTAATTGTTCTGAGAGTGTCAAAATTTTCACAGTATTCTTATGTGACTGAATATTTTTTGAGTATTGTTACTCATGAAAATAAGGAAATGGAAAGTCACATGAAGAGACTAGTAAAAACTTAGATTACAAAAATCAGCGAAATTGAGAATAAAATAGGAATTGTTACACATGTTAAAAACTGTAGCTCTTAAATCTTAATTGAGCATTCATTGGACAGTGGGCCCACTGTTTTTGTCATTTATGTAGCAAAATCAGTATTAAATATGTGAACTTATGAGACATACACTGTCAAAATTGCACTTAAAGGGACCAGCAGTTGGCATAATTGCTGTGTCTCTAGACTCCCATGTAGTTGACTGCAGTTCATGTCCTGACCCGGTGGCTTGAACTCACACCGGGCACATTTACATGTGTGCCCAAGAGGAGAAAGGATTGCGGCGTAAACCCCCCCCCCCCGGGGGGGTGTGATTTCTTGCGTTCTATCTCTCTGTTTCTCCAAAAAAAAAATTAAATAAATAAAATTGTACTTAAAAAGATAATTTTTTTTTTTTTTGGTTTTATATATGTGTTTCCCTTTCTGGAAACAAACCAATTTGACTTTTGCAATTTTTATTAAATTGCTAGGGGGCACATGTGCTTGCTAGAAAGAGACAGAGACAAAGAAAGGGAGAAGGCACCCCCATAGGGAATGGTCACACCACAATTCTTTTTCCTCTATTTCTCCCTCCTTTTGAGATGTAAGGTATATATATATACTTGCACCTATTGTGTTTCTAAAGCCTCCAGGCCCATGACTCAAACAATGTAGTTGGCCATTTGGAATCTAGTTGCCTTAACCGCTGTGCCATCTGATTTGTACTTCTGATTTTTTGGATTATTTTCCAAGAACTTAGGCCATTCACTAAATACCTTGAGTGAACCTTAGGTGACACTAATTGAAATCTTTCATTTAGGTGTAGCCATCTTAGTTTGGTGGTACTGTTGGCTTTTTCCTTACATTTTTTTTCTTAAAATTTAAAAAAGAATTTTTGCCAGAAATCATATGTGCTTTCCAGACACACAGAGAGAATAAGCGAGCAGGCAACCCCCCCCATGGGGCACAGCCATGCTGCAATTCCTTTGTTCCATTTCTCCTTCTCGAGATCTTGGGTACGCATGTACCTGTGCCTGGTGTGTTTCTCAAGCCTTCAAGTCCAGGCACACAATCAACCTTGTGGCATCCAGCAGCCTTAACCACCATGCCACAGGCCGTCTTATATTGTTTTTATATGCGTTTGTTGTATACTGAAGGACAGGTTTACTTTTCTTTTTTCCCCTCACATTAATTTATCAGTACATTGTTTCTTGTCTATTTTAAGAATTCAGTGTTAAGTGTTAACTCTATTCAGTGCTTGAATTTAGTTATATTTGAGTTAATGTTAGACTAGGGTGCATGCCTGTATTAGTTTCCTGAAATGTCACAAAGTACTGAAAACTGTCACTGTCAGCATATTAACTTTGATTAACAGAAACATACAGTTTTGGAGTGTAAAAGTACAAATCATCATGTCAGCAGGACTTTGTTCTTGCTGGTAGTTCTAGTGAAAATACCTTCTTTGCCTCTTTCAACTTGGGATATTTGCTGACAATCCTTGGCTGGTAGATCTATCACCCCAGTCACATGACTCTCTTCTTGCATTGTATCTTCACATAATTATCCTTCTATGTATCTTTTAGTGTCCAAATTTTCCTTTTTTATAAGAACACCAATCATTCTGGATTTTGGGTCACTGTGATAACCTCATTTTAACTTGAAAGACCCTATTTCCAAACTAGGACACTTCTGAGGTACTGGGGATTAGGACTTAACATACTTTTAGAATCCATAATAATGACAGTTTTGTAATCTCTTAATTTGTCATCTTTTATAAGGCATTGTATTTTGGTTATTTCAAGTTACTGAAGTGTTACTGCCATCTTTGCAAAATTTGGTTTTGCTTTTGTTCTTAAATGGCTTTTCTTGAAGGCCTTATAATCTCTAACTTCTGAACTTTAGGATTTTATAACCATTATATCTATTCTTTATTTCATCTCTTTGCCATAATATGCAGTCTTAGTTTTCATTTTCTTTCTTCTGAGTAGTCACAGTTTATTTCCTGGGTCAGCCCATAGCCTGGTGGTTAAGTTGGTTAGACTGATCATACAATTTGAGTCCCAGACTCATTGGCTTGAAAAATATGCTGGCATGTATGTGTGCATGCCCAAAATCATAAAAGAAGGAAGAAATAGAGGAGAAGGGATTGTGGTGTGGCCATACCTCATGGGGATGTATTTTTTTGCATTGCTTTTTTTTTCTCTGTCTCTCTCCAGGGAGTATTTGTGCTCTCTAGCAAAATTAAAACAAATAAACAAAAACCAAAAACTTATTTGCCTAATACAATAAAGCTTTTTTATTTGTTTTCCATCCATCCAGTTTTAATCCTGTAGGTAGTGTTTAATCAGTATATTTAGACAGCAATACAGACAGTGCCACCATCTCATACTGGTGAATATGAATATTTGATCTGGAAAGCTTATATGGCTTAAAGTTGTTTTTATATTTCTTTGTTTTTCAGGATATTTCTATAGAGCTCTTTAGATGTCTGTGTATAACATAAATAGATTGTTAGAATCTCTAATATTTAGGAGGAGACTAAAAATTTTAAAAAAATTTCCTTCAGTTAATTTTCACACACCTTTTTAAGGATATAACTACTATTGAATGAAAGTAACAGTTGAAGACCAGATCAGTTTAAGTGTATTTTGATAACTGTTTGTTTGTTTTGTTTTTCTTTTTTTCTTTTTTTTTTTTAAGTTTGCTATAGGTTGGTGTGTGTGTTGCTAGAGAGAGACAGAGGGAGAGGAAAAGTGAGCAATCACCCGCCCAAGGAGGATGGTCATACTACAGTCCCTTCTTCATTTTCTCCTTGGGATTTTGGGTGCTCATGTGCCTGACATGTTTTCTTTTTTTTTTTGTCTTAGGTTTTTGCCATAGGGCGCATGCACTTGCTAGAGAGAGAGAGGAGAGGGAAAGTGAGAAATCACCCCGCCAGGGGTCAGGAGGATGACCATATCTCAATCACTTTTGCTCCACTCTTCTTGGGATTTTGGGCAAACAAGCACATTGTCAAGCCTGACTTTCAAACTGCTGGGTCTGCAGCCTTGTCGGCCATGTGGGAGTACAGTGCCTTAGCCACTATGCTACCTGTTGGCCCCCTGATGTGTTTTTCAAGCTGCCACCTGTCTACCCTGATAACTATTTTGAATGGAAAGTTGTTTAATTTTAAAGTTTTGGACATTTATAACTTAATTTAAAAACACATTACATATTTTAGCTCTGGAACTATTCTGAATTTGTGAAAATATTTAAGGGGCTTGTTGTAGGTAAGTGAGTTTTTAGCAAAATGAACTGAGATTTCCTTTTTTTTGAGAGGTTTTTGCTATAGGGCGCATGCACTCGCCAGAGAGACAGAATGTGAGAAGTCACCCCCCAGGGAGGATGGCCACGCTGCAATCCCTCCTTCTTCATTCTCCTCTTGGGATCTTGGGCACGCACACACACGCGCCTGGTATGAGTTTAAGCCACCAGGTCTGGGACTCAAACCGTGGTCGGCTACATGGGAGTCCAGCGACATAGCCATTATGCTAACTGCTGGTCACCTGAGATTTCCTTTTTTTATATGTGATTAAAGCTTGGTTGATTTCTATTTATTACTAAATGATAATAGCCTATAGTACAGAGATACAAAGAAAGTTTGTTTCTCAAAGTTTTCCATGCAATTTTCCTTTTTCTCCCCTAATTTTTGCTGCAGAGCATGTACATTTATGTGGGGTGGGAGGAGAGAAAATGTGAAGTCACCCCTCCCCCCTGGGATGATGACCATGCTGCAATCCCTTCTCCATTCTCCTTTTAATATTTTGGGCATGCATGCATTTGGGCTTGGTGTGATCCCCCCCTCCCCCAAACTTTTTGGTCCAGGATTCGAACTGCGCAGTTTTCTGTGTGGGATCCAACCTTGATAACCTCCATGCCACCTGCTTGACCCACAGTTTTCCTTTATTCAGTAGTAGCCTTCAGTTTTTCATTTCTGATTGTTTATCAAGCATCGTGAATTTGGTGGGATTATAATTTTACCAAGAATAAAAATAGCTTTTACATAATTAAATATAACTGAAATATCCCTATAGTAGTATTTCTTTTTTTGTCTTTTTGCATTTTAGACCTTGTCTCTGATTAGAAGTTACGATTTTATTGTATGAAATAAATTTTGTCACTTGTTTCTTATGACCCTTGTGCATTGTTTTGTTAATTAAAATATGCTTTGTCAAGTTTTTCGTTTGTAGTACTTTATAACAGAAATATAAGTTCGGGACCAGCAGTTGGCGTAACGGCTATGTCACTGGATTCCCATGTACTTGACCACGGTTCGCGTCCCAGACCCTGCGGCTTAAACTCGTGCTGGGTATATGTGCGTGCGTGCCCAAGATCCCGAGAGGAGAATGGAGGAGAAGGGATTGCAGCGTGGCCATCCCCCCTGGGGGGTGATTTCTCACCTTTCTGTCTCTCTGTCTTTCTGGCGAGCTCACACACCCAATAGCAAAAATCTCAAAAAAAATAAAAAAAGAAATATAAGTTCAATGTTTGTCTCACGGCCAGGCAGTGGCACAACAGTAGTGCAACTGGTTCTACATGGGATGTTCTGGGTTCTTATACTGGAACCTTTCTGTGCATGCTAAGCACGCAAGTGGGCATGTCCTGATCTCGACTGCCTGAAAATGGAAGTAGATCATGGCATGAAGACTGTTGGGGGTGCCTGTCTCTGTTTCTATCCTTTCTCCCTCTGTCTGTCTCTGTCATGGAAGAAATAAACTTTAAAAAGCGTTTGTCTTGTTGGAAGAAAGTGAATTTTCTTACATACCTAAATTTATTTTAAAGGTATTGCTATTAAGGAATCAGCTAAAGTGGGTGATCAAGCTCAAAGGAGGGTGATGAAAGGTGTTGATGACCTAGACTTCTTCATTGGTGATGAAGCAATAGAAAAACCTACATATGCAACAAAGGTACGTTTTCATAATTTGTATAAATAACATTTTCTTCTAAAAAGTTAGTTTGGAGCTGACCCTGTGGCCTAGTATTTAAGGGAGCTGTATCCTACATGACCAATTGTGAGTTCAAATCCTACCCTTGTGGCTTGAAAAACACTTGGGGTGTGCATGGATGTGTGCAAATCCTACCCTCGTGGCTTGAAAAACACTTGGGGTGTGCATGGATGTGTGCCTAAAATCTTGACAGGAAGAAGCAACTGAATAGAAAGGATTACAACATGACCATGCCCTATTCGGGCGTGCTTTCTCCTTTCTTTCTGGTGAGTTTACATACTCTGGCAATTAAGAAATAAAGAAATAAGCAAATAAAATAGTTATTTTTTAAAACGAACTACTAACTTGTTCAATGATTGTGTCCCCTGGAATTTTACTCTATTATAGATCTAATACCTCAACCTCTCTCCATAGTAGAAATTTCTTCTCTCTGGCCCCATCCCTGATGCCTTAACTATTTTTCGTTTTTTAAAAACCCTCAAGAGGAAAATTTATCCTATTTAAGTGAGCATTATTTGCTTTTTCATATCTACTAAATCTCAAGGCTCTCAGTGGGGCTGGCTCTCAGTTACTTCCATATTGTAATATTTAATGACATCTTTCTCCTGTTTTAATTCGGGGCCACATCATTTCTCTCCTTTTTGTAGCTTTGTCACTTAGAAGAAGAACTGATCTACTGGGGACCAGGAGGTGGTATGGTAGTTAAGGCACTGGACACCTTCACATGGCCAGCCACAGTTTGAGTCCCTAGCAACTTGTTTTTTTCATTTCTCTTTCTCTCTTTCTTTGTCCCTCTCTGGTCAAATTAAAATAAATAAATGGATGAATAAATAAAGTTAAATAATAAATATTTTTAAAAAATAGTAGTACTGCTTTCCTCTCCCATTTTTATTTTCTCCTTTTCTACCCTTTTCCCTCCCTGTCTCTTTTCATTGAGTTATAACTTACATGCTATAAAGAACTTAAGTCTTAATTGTATAGTGTAGAGAATTGTGACTGTAATCAGAGTACTTGAAGATACAGAGGAAATCTAGTAATCCAGATAATGCTCGTTCCCATAGTCACCATCTCAGGGCAAACACAAGGCACTTTCCTGATCTTTATCATCTTTTTTTCTTGACATTGTTTTTACCTAATTTGCACATTTCCTCCTTTGTACTTCTTTTCTTCCCTTCTCTTATAATTTATTCCTTATTGGACAATTACCATATGTAAAAAAATCTTTGCTAAGTACTGAGACTACAGTGTTATATAAGAAAAATAGCTTCCCTGACTTCAAGGTTATTATAATGTGGGAGAAAGAAAGACATTGAAGAAATAATTAAAACTGTGATGGGGGTTAGAAAAATGAAAACACAGAATGCTCCATGCACATGTAACAGGAATAGCTAGCCTAGTTTTGTGATTAAAGTCCTTGAAGAAATTAAAATAAATAAATGGATGAATAAATAAAGTTAAATAATAAATATTTTTAAAAAATAGTAGTACTGCTTTCCTCTCCCATTTTTATTTTCTCCTTTTCTACCCTTTTCCCTCCCTGTCTCTTTTCATTGAGTTATAACTTACATGCTATAAAGAACTTAAGTCTTAATTGTATAGTGTAGAGAATTGTGACTGTAATCAGAGTACTTGAAGATACAGAGGAAATCTAGTAATCCAGATAATGCTCGTTCCCATAGTCACCATCTCAGGGCAAACACAAGGCACTTTCCTGATCTTTATCATCTTTTTTTCTTGACATTGTTTTTACCTAATTTGCACATTTCCTCCTTTGTACTTCTTTTCTTCCCTTCTCTTATAATTTATTCCTTATTGGACAATTACCATATGTAAAAAAATCTTTGCTAAGTACTGAGACTACAGTGTTATATAAGAAAAATAGCTTCCCTGACTTCAAGGTTATTATAATGTGGGAGAAAGAAAGACATTGAAGAAATAATTAAAACTGTGATGGGGGTTAGAAAAATGAAAACACAGAATGCTCCATGCACATGTAACAGGAATAGCTAGCCTAGTTTTGTGATTAAAGTCCTTGAAGAATAAAATTCTAAGCTGAAGCTTAAAGAGTAAGATAGAAGTTAGCTAGGTGAAGTGTGCCAGTAAAGTTGCTTTAGACAGAGAAGGAAGTATGCAAAAAGACTTTAAAGTATGAAGGAGACTGGAAATGTATGATCAGTATTCTTGAAACATAGAGAATGAAGTAGAAAGAAGTGAGGAGGATAGATATGTAGGCCAAGAAAGAGCTTTGGAAGTGTTATGTCCTGTTAAAGAATTTGAATTGTATCCAGTGGATAACATTAATGGATTTAAAGAGGAATAATTTTAGTAAGTCAAAGCCACAGATTTTGAAGTCTACCCTTTTGGACTTGAGACTTTGTTTTTTCTATGAGAAGGAGACACATAGGCACAGAGAGATGGAGACAGACACTGGGGTTGTTGATGCCACCAGTCTCAGCTAGTGTGGATCATGGGTAAACATAGTGTGATTAGGGAGGTCTTGTGATGTGAACCCAGAATCTTTTCCACTTAGGTCTACTTGTGCTACCACCTGGCCTGGACTTGAATGGTGGATGTATTTTCTAGCTTTGTGATACCAAACCTGATTGCCTTACAAAATTTTCCATAATTTGGATTGTGATTACTACATCCTTATCATGTTATTTATTATACTATGATTCAGTACTCCCTGTATTTTACTCCTTTATTGTAAATCGGTAGTTAAATTTAGAAGTTTGATTATATATATGTGAGATTTTTTTCATAGAAGAATAAAAAAAATTGGATGTTTAAGGAATAATATGGAGTAATTAATGAGATATTGGTGGTAAGCTATTCATAGTAATTGAGGATAATTCCAAGTTCCTAGGTGGTCCTTATTCCTTATCTCCTGAGATTGATAACCTTACTGAAGAAACACTTGTGACTACAATGGCTTAGGGAAAAGAAGTTTAAATTTAGACATGTTGTGTCTGAACTGTCTGGAGACATCTAAGATAGTATTACGACAGTCGAATATGTGTATTTTAGAGCCAAGGAACAAGACAGAGGCGGGAGTGAAATTTTAGAAGGTTTCATTTACCTCTGGAGTGGATGAAATTACTTAGGGAATGTAGCAAAGGAAGGGGTATAGGACAGAATCTGAGCAATAAGCCAGTTAGGTCTGAGTAGAGAAGAAAGGTCTTTAAGGGAGACTAAGAAGGCATTACAGAGATAGGAGTGAACAGGGAGGAGTGATAAGCATTGTGGAATGCTGCTGAGATATCAAGAAACTAAAGCCCATAGATAATTTACTTTCTTTAGCTACAAGGAGGTCATTTGTAACCTTAATGAGAATTGTTTTACAAGAGTAATAAGGGGCTAGATAAAAAGTAGGCTTGTGAATAGTAGGCTAAGAAATAAGATCGTAGAAGTTTTTGAGGTTTGACTATGATAGAGAGGGAGAGAAGGAAGAAGAGACTAGTTTGTAGTTAAAGTGGAAGAGTTGTTTAAATGCTGAAGTGAAAGATCATTAGAAAAAAGATTAAAATAACAAAAAAGATGGGATATAATCAAGGTCTCTAGGGAAACTGAAGGGTTGGGATCCAGAGCATGCACAGATGATTAAACTGATACAGTGAGTGTTTCTTACATTATAATAGTAGTGAAAGAGAAAAATGGGTAAATGTGCCATCAGTTTTATGGAGTTGGTGAATGGTAACTGAATTGGATAATTGAATTCCTGACTGTTGGTTTCTGCTTTCTCTGTGAAGTATGTGGTGACATCATCTGCTACTCAGGGAATGTGGAGAGAAATCCAATTGGTAGGAAGACATTGGAATCATCATTGTAGAGAGTAAAAATGAACAGAATAG